GTACTATTAATTTATTATATATTTTTTAAAAATTTAGCACTATTATAAATACAATTTTTAAAATTTAGCACTTCTATATATAGATTTTGAAATTCAGCACTATGATGTAACTAGATGTTTTGCATTATAGTAAATGTGAAGTGTATTAGTTTAAAACTTTTTTTTACTAAATAAATCATCTTTGAGTTTCTAAATAATAGTCACAAGATATGTCCTTATATAGGGGTTTCTATTGTTATTACTTATGAGTCAAATAAGTTAACACATTAAATTTTATATATAAAGTTTTACAAAAAAATCATTAAAATTTAATTTATTTAAAAAAAATATATATAAATCTTTCTTGAAATTTTAAATATATATACGGAGAACCAAGATTATGATGGTCAGACCCAATGTACAGGGCAGACTTTGGCACCCTTCGCGGTCATGAGAACTGGGCTTAAAATAGTGAGCGATTCTGCCGAAAACTACTTGTCCAAATCATCTTCAACATCTTTAGACTTCTATGATTTGGATGGGTCCGTATTATTTTACCGACAATCACTTCACCGACAGCTCATTTAGCCGACATCACGCCAGTGAAATTTAGTAAAAATATATACCTGCAACTAATCAAATGCTTAACCCTAACCCTATGTGATGTCGGCTAAATGAGCGTTCGGTGAAATGATTGCCGGTGTCACACCCGAACTACACCTCTTAATAGTAGTTCAAGGGACGTGCAGGTTATAGCCTTATGACTTGGCAGAGAATAATAGCATCGATATATACGACTTAACAAAGAGGTTTTATTAGGACTTTATCGAAAGAGGCAAAACGACTAATGTATATGAAGATACAATAGGCGCATAAGATGAGTTATCTCTTTATTAATTCATGTGCTCGAAAGAACTGTGAATACTGGAAGGGTGTTGGGGTTATTTTATACATGTTTTCAAGAACAAGACCTACACTTCTATATACATTTACAATCAATACTAATCCTATTCCCTAATGAACGCAACGTGAAAGAATATGGAGACATAAGGTCAAGTAACAAGCACGACATATTATAAGATTACCCATGTGGGATCCGAAAGATTGACATTCGATCCTTGAATATCTTCACATTCGGGTCAACATCAGGTGATCTACAACTAGAGATGACTATACGGTCAAGTGACAAAATCCCATGTAACAATTTCTCCCCTGCTTTATTATGAGCTCCTGCGAATAAGTAGATGCAATAACAAATACCAACTTGAAATATTTCACGAACATTGTTCATGTTTCTTGCTTCCATTTTGTGACTATTAATTTCTTACAATTATAATAGATAAACGATATTATTACTTTAACAAATTTCAGACTAATTTCCTTCACAATATTTCTATTTTTGCGTAGTATCTATCTTTCGCCGATACCAGGCTACAATACACGACTTACTCGCAGGTTTACCAAAATAATAAAATATTAGATACACTTTGACATCTCAATTGATGTGGATGTTTCCTTACTTATTCCCGTCCTTAAGCGGCTACACTATGATATCCATACAGTGCTTCTTTTAAGTCTTATCTGGCATACGATATGGACGTATTCTTAATTCTTGCCGTCCCTTATACAAAAATTCAAAGTCTTCTGCTGCACAGTACTTATTAACTTTTGCCAGTACCAGGCTATGTTCGTGACTTATACGGCAAAATTATTTTTTTCAACTCTTAACCTTGCGCAGTGCTTATTACCATGTGCCAGCACTAGGCTTCTGATATGCGGCTTATAGATACTTGAGTTCAAAATTTAGTGAGATTAGTTTCTATTACTCTCCAATTGTTCTTTAATTGTTCATGATTATATATACCAAATCTTCGTCATTTTATGTTACAACGTATTATCTGTTTTACTCTTCAACGTTAATGCTTTTATACTAAGGAGTACGTAGTTGAATTTTTCTATCCCTAGTACTCGAAGGGTCATGATTATATCTTCCAACTAACAGGTCGATCTTATTCGTCAACTTTTATGATCTTTGATTCCGAATTGAAACTTGATTATGGGCGTTATCTCTATTATATGAGCTCTTACCCTTATCTTTATCAAGTTTTAAGCTAGTATTATCTAACTATCGAAATACTATCAAATAAACTAACTGACAGAATGAACTAGTCGCAGTTTCACCTAAACGATTTATACTTAGACATGCATGGTTTAATCTTTGAGACAAGCATATGTCTACTAGCAAGATCAACTAGATATAGTCAATAGGACAGAATTTCAATGACTCATCGTCAGCGTAAGGCCATACGATTCGAAAAATTATTATAAATTACCAGGTGAAACCCAAAGGTTATCGGCTTTTATCTAATAAATATGTCCCTTCCTAAAGTCGAGACTTTTAGCATGTATTAGCTCTGTAATTACCACAGTTATCCCAGTAGTAATTGTGCCATAAATGATCCTTCGTGGTTGCTAGGGGTTCATCATTCTTAACTTTTTTTTTTCAAGGTTATATACATTCTATTAGTATGAATTGCCTTAGCATCTCGGTGTAACAAAACCTCGATCATGTATTCATTTTAGTGGCAGGGTCTAATTTTATATATTTGGCAACATTGCCTACGTTGGCAGATTCTTGATAAACGAATATATTATGCTCATTTTCCAACGTATTTGTTCCATTATCATCACTTATGCCGGCAGGTTCTTTATAATTACGAACATTATGTCTTGATATCAGTTTCCTTTTGTATCCAGCAACCTGATTAAGTATTCATATTCATGGGTTTTGAGTTAATCTATGTATTTTAAGTTTACTACCAATTACATTTTTATAGGATTTTAAATCCTTTTAAGGAACTAGCCAAGGTCACGATACTGTTTGGTTCTCATGGTCTTCTAGAGAGATAGTTGTCATTATCATTGCTTATTTCTAATAATCTAACAAAGGGGAATCCATCCAATTTTCTTCTATCCCAGGTTCTTAGAACGTTTTTATGCCATCGTTAACATCTTTTACTTCTACTTGTCCTTGTTGTTATGTCAGAATTGCATGTTAAACACCATACTTTATATGTGCGATTTTTATTATAGTGTATTAAGATAAGTAGTTGTACTATTTGTTTATCACCCTGTTATTATACTTTTGTAGGTTTCAGATCTAATTCATTCATCATTTTTTTCATTTTTAGTGCTGCTTATGCCATTTTGATAATACGTACTATCCACAATTATTTTGTCCGTTTGGATTACTATCTTCAGAGGAATTCTGGTGCCATTCTAACTTTTCATGTTTACTTCTTTTACTTGCTTCGATTTTTATCTTTAAACTTTTTGAGTTTCTTTTTTCAAGAATTATACATGGCATCCAGAGATTCTTTGGGATCGATATGTATTCGTACTTTAACTTGTCTTTCCTTTAGCATACTCCTTACTTTACTAACAAACCTTTTCGCTTCCTCTATAGTATGGTACTTTTTCTTATCTCAGCCGTTTTATCATTATCATGATCCTTATTATCATTTGTGGCTTCAGACTTATTTTTATTTGGATAATGTTCATTTACTTCAGGACCTATCTCATTTTTATAACAATGCCCGACTTTAAATGTTCCATTAGAATTTTCAAGCTTAGCAGATTGTTGATAATGAATGAGTGCCTTATGTTTTCTCCTTTCAGCAGCATCATTCATTCCTTTAGTATCACCGATTTCAACCAACTTCATATACTTTTCAAAGACTTTCCGCCTATTCTTGGTAGACCTTTGATGCTGAACATACTTTTTATGCTTATTTGTTTCAATCCCAATTCAATTCTGATAGTGCTTTTTAATACCATAATTCTCGGAAAGTCTCTTTGCTTTTACTGGTTCTTGAGGATATTTGAATACATTGTGTTTATTCTTTTCAATCTCAATTCCATTTTTATTTCCATAACATCGCCCAACATATATTCCGTTAGTGCTGATATGATGCGGCTCTAACCTGACAGACTTAGGCATTGGCATTAGCTTGATATATGGAGGTAAGTGAATTATCGGTGGTACTTTAGCTACTTTTTTGTAATTTGTGAAGTCTTCTAAGATTTCTAATGTTAGTTCTAGAGTCTGCGGAAGCCGTGTATCATCGATATATTCATTTTCGACGGCTTTATTTATGAGTTTTTGAACTTTAATAGTTTGCTTATCAGTAAGGGTCTCAAATATGGCAATGCATTTTCTTTCTAACACCTTTACTTTTGGACATTTATTATTTGTGTGTTTTGTTATGTTACAATAAGTGCATCTGGATTTTCTGTGAAAGATTTCATGGGACAGATTGTTGTTTCATGATATTTGCTGCGATTGGGCCTTCTTTGTCCGATACTGCGCATTTTTCTTCAAACGTTGGCATGGCCTAGGTTGATTCGTGATAGATATCTGATTCTGTTGGCTATAGTAAAAATCCATTTTGTGAGATATCTCTAGTCAGCTTTTATAATACTACTCAGTGCTTTTAATTAAAAGGTCATCTCGCGTTAGATTAATTCCTTAACTAGGATCGATCGGACTATACAATCTTACAATTGGGGTTCACTAAGATAATCCGATTTCAATTCTCATGAATTAAGTTTCTAATCTCACAGTCACCACCAAATTGTCACACCCGAACTACACCTCTTAATAGTAGTTCAAGGAACGTGCAGGTTATAGCCTTATGACTTGGCAGAGAATAATAGCGTCGATATATATGACTTAACAAAGAGGTTTTATTAGGACTTTATCGAAAGAGGCAAAACGACTAATGTATATGAAGATACAATAGGTGCATAAGATGAGTTATCTCTTTATTAATTCATGTGCTCGAGAGAACTGTGAATACTGGAAGGGTGTTGGGGTTATTTTATACATGTTTTCAAGAACAAGACCTACACTTCTATATACATTTACAATCAATACTAATCCTATTCCCTAATGAACGCAACGTGAAAGAATATGGAGACATAAGGTCAAGTAACAAGCACGACATATCATAAGATTACCCATGTGGGATCCGAAAGATTGACGTTCGATCCTTGAATATCTTCACATTCGGGTCAACATCAGGTGATCTACAACTAGGGATGACTATACGGTCAAGTGACAAAATCCCATGTAACACCGGTAAATTGATCGGAATTGCTACCAGTATAGTCCCATTAATTATTAACATTCATAGTCTCATTAACCATTACCTCGTCAACATAGCGGGCTTTCATTCTGACTTTACAAAATCTGATTGGCACGAGTTCGAAGTAAAAAAAAAAAAAAGTTATGTATAAGTTATTAAAAAAGACATTTTTAAACTATAAATTTAAATTTATAATAATAAATTGATCCTGACAGCCATTGTCAAATGCGTATCTGGTTAAATTTAATAAAAAAAGTATTATCTTTAAGCTTAACAATCTCTTAATATGTATAAAAAGAATAATCTTTATTAATCAAATATCTTACTAACTAGTACATGGTTTAAACAAGACTAGGGATGGACCGCTGCGCAGACGGAATATTTCGGAATTTAACAATTATGGCCCGCATTAGCAGAAAACTATCATAATGCGTGTTGTGAAGCTGCGCAGTAAATTCGATTTTCTCATCCCTAAACATGACAAAACAAATAATGAATGACTTAAATTACTTAAAAGGAAACATCAAATATTAAGAAAGCCGTTGGAAGTTAATTTTTCGGTTAACATCACTTTCCAGGGCTCTCGAAAGGGGGAGGGAGAGGGCAAATGAAACGAACGTATAAAATGAACAACCTATTTTTAATGTAGTAATCTATTATAACGAATTGACTTCAAGTTAAATTTAGTCTAGAGATTCTAGCTGAGTTGCTAATTAGGTCAGATAAATTTGATTCGGAGCATTTTAAACCAACATGCCGGTTCTTATTTATATGTTGTTACGCAAAAAGACGTAACAAAGCTACAATTAAACTTTTTATTCGTGTAACCTTATAATAGTCTATGCGAAGTTTATAGTTGTAAAGCATACTTTAATTAGACTTTATATTGTTATACCCATGTATATAGCTTATATGTAGTCTAAGATATTGGTCATGCAATTATGATCATGATTTACGAGTCGTGGTTGGCTAACTGAGTTTTAATTCGGGATTGTTGTGCTTACGTAATAACGTACCAAAAATAACAAGAAAAAAATCTATGATCATAAGAGTTTGCACGATAATAGTATATATCAACATATCGGAGAGTTTATATGTTAGATTTGCATACTTCTTGATCAAATTAATAGACGTACCTAAATTTTATATTATTTTTTAATTTCCTTTGAAGTTTAATATAAAAGTTAAGTTAAAACTTCAGATACTTATTCTTGAGTATCTAACGATTCTTTGTACAAAATTTGAGTAATAGTTAATAATAAAGTTGAAAATAATCTTGACCCTAAAGTTAACGTTTATTTACAATGTTTCTTAGTCCAAAGACTGACACACCATCAATAATTACAATAATATATGTTCCTTAAAAAAATTATGCAAAAAGGATCGTCGTACACTCTGCAGAAGACACCTGCCGGGTGCTCTAGAAAAACACCATAGCTAGACTTAGGAGAAGAAGAAACGTACCAGCTCAAGAAACAAGGGCAACAGCCCTGGTCCCAAGGAAACGACACTTAGTAGACACGTTAAATAAGGACAGCACAAAGAAAATGAAGAAGGTCCATAACACGCGCCAAAAGGGCGAAGGAATGCCAATTGTACTTCAAGCGACAATGCCCGAAGGTACAAACGCGCAAGTAGATGCTTTTCAAGCCAACTCTGACACAAACACGACGGACTCGACGTCCCAGGACTGGTTAGAGATTATGGAACGCGAAGCAGCAGCAGAAAACCAACAAGTTCCACCTGAAGACAACAATTTCCGCAAGGAAAATTCTACGGCTACAGACATAGAAGGTTCTGGCAATCTGTGTGACGATAGGGCAGGTGAGACGACCTCACATGACCTGCATTTGGGCACCAGTCATACAAATGTAGTTGCAGAACCAAGCATCGAAGGAAAACCTAAAAATAAGACACATTCTCAGGAAACAAAATCGTGGTCAGGTCTTTTTACAAAATTAACTAGGGGAAGGGCAACCTACTCCACCTTCTCCCCCAGAGCCAATATAAGTACAAAGAACAGAAATGCACTCCTGTTTGATATACAGAGACTTAATCAAATCTCTACTAATGACATAGTGGCCACACTTTACGGCAAAATGGGAGGGGACTTTATAGGGGCCAAACCACATTTTGTCAAAGGAACCCGTATGTACTTAGAAATCATATTCACGGACGAACAAAGAATGAGAGAATACGCAAAAAAGGGGATAGATATGTTTCAACAAACCTTCTATGGCCACATCTCATCTAGGACTAACCAAGACTTACTGTCAGTAAGGCTGAGAAGGGTCCCAATCATGGACAAAGATACAATTTCAGACGAAATTAAATGGGCTTTTGATGGGGTGGGCACCATCATGGCAATCAAACCCCTGCTATATGAGGGAACTCCAATACAATCAGACCAATGGGTCGTAATTTTTGATATAACAGAAGATGCAAAGTTAGCTGAGCGAATGCCAAGATATGTTAATATAATGGACCAGAAAGTAGTCACAGAATGGAAGGAGGCGCCAAAACTCTGCTTTTTCTGTGACGGAGAGGGCCACATGAAACGGGACTGTGACCAACTAAAAGAAGCCAACAAATTAAACCGATACTACAAAGAGTTCAAGGAACACAAGAATAAGCAGTCTGGAAGGGATGTGGAGCCAGAACCTGTTCGAGAAACGGTAGAGGAGAAAACAGGAAACCCGTATATCAATAGAAGCCAAAACAGTGAATTACGTGAAGCTACAGAGATAGAACAGGATACCTATATGGCGATGGTAGATGCCCCATTGGAGACGGCCCCGACACAATTAAACATGCACAATGAAGAGATAGTCTTGCCAAACAACTTGGAACTCACTTCGGCAACACCAATAGATGCAAACAAGGAGAACATTGCTCCAGCAGGTCCAATTAGGAATGAGGAGGAAAAAGATAAGATTAACAACAATACGTTACATGAGCAGTCATTACTACTCAACAATGGAACTACAAACATAATACAACCAGAGGTGGACGATGGTTTCACTGAAGTTACATATAACAAGAAAAAGAAAAAAAAGGACAAAAAAGACAGGAGAGAAATTCTGGCCCCATATAAAAAACCCAAAACATCCCAATAATGAGAGAACATGTAATTACAGTTGCGACACTAAATGTCAAAGGACTAAATAATAGAAACAAATGTAAAGAAACACTGACTCTTCTTAAATCATACAAGATAGACATTATATTAATTCAAGAAACCAATCTAAAGGATACGGCCATGCAAGCCTTTCTCAAAAGTCAATGGCACTTAGACTCGATATGGTCCTCGAAGGCAGCTATCTTAGCAGGAAACAGGCAAATAACTTTTAATAACCAAAAAACCTTACACAACGGAAGGGTAATAATGGCTAGTTTTCAATTTAGCATCTAACATTTCAGGTCACAAATGTATATGCCCCTCCAAATGTTGCAGACAGGCGGGACTTTCTAGAGGCATGGGCACCTAGCATAAACACCAATGCGATCAACATCGTAGCTGGTGACTTCAATACGAATCTGAACCCATCAGACAACAGAATTAGTCAATCACAAAGTCACTATGATCCCACTAGGAATAAATTAGAGGAACTCATGGAGGGGTTTACAGATACGGCTTATGTAAGCCAAACAAAACCCTTTGTCACTTACTACCAAACAGTAAGAAATGGACAATCGATGGCTACGAGATTAGATTACATTTTTCTCGATAATGACAATATACAGATGTGTAACAAATCAGAGACTAAGTTCGGAAACTCTGATCACCTTCTTGTATGGTGTTCGTTATATCGTAACCGGGAAACACCCAAGCCTACTTTATGGAAACTAAATCCGCGCATGCTAAATAATCCATTCATATTAAAAGAAATAGAAACTGATCTTAAGAATAAAGAGGCAACCACAGATTGGGACTATTACAAGGTCCGGTGCCAATCAATTTTTAGGGCTTGTAAGCCACCAACCGCCCCAGAAACACGCATACACAAATTACATAAAAAAATAACGGAACTTAACAATAAAATGGCAATGAATCCACAACTGTCCGATCTAAGTATTGTGATAACACAGTTAAACTCAGAGCTACAGGAGGAGTTAAAGCTACAAACAGAAAAATGGCAATTGAGATCGAATATTAAATGGCTAGAAGCAGGGGAAAAGTCAACAAAGTATTTCTTCGAGCGGTACAAGTCAAGAACATTACAGAAAGCAACAAGTCTAGTGAGAAACCCCACAGCTCCAGCCTCAAAGGATAGACTAGAAATACTGCAGTATATAAAGGAACAATTCGCGATACTATACCGAGCAGAACCGATAGATCTAGAAGCAGCAGAGGCTCTTACAGAAGATCTGCCTTCAGTGTCACAGCAACAAAATACTGCTCTAATAAAAGAAATCAGCCTACAGGAAATCACAGAGACAATCGATAAACTCCCAAAACACAAGACGCCTGGACCAGATGGCTTAACACACGAATTTTACAAGACGTTTCGTGACAAAATTTCCCCACTTCTTCAGATGGTCTTTAACAAAGCTCTAAACTCGGGCGTAATTCCAGACTCATGGCAGAAATCAGTAATCACACTGCTCCCCAAAAAAAGTGAGGAACTAGATAATATTAATAATTGGAGACCTATCTCACTAGTAAATGCGGACACTAAGATCTTTACGAAGATCATGGCAGACAGGCTCAACATCATTTGCAAGGATATTATAGGTGAATATCAAGCAGGTTTTATAAAAGACAGGTCAATTGTTGATGCCGCCTTGGACATTATAAGCACGATGAGAAGTCAAAAAAATCTGACGGACATGAACTGGCTTCTTTTCTTAGACCAAAAGAAGGCGTTCGATAGAGTGGATCACAATTACCTAATACTAGTACTTGAAAAAATGGGCTTTAGTCCCACCTTTACAAACCTAATCAAAAGTCTTTTTGGAAACCTGTGGGCGCATATAACAGATGCGGGGCTACTCTCCACCCCATTCAAGATCAGCAGAGGAGTTAGACAGGGGGATCCCCTTTCCCCTTTGCTCTACGTGATAGCTTTCGAACCTCTTCTAAGACAATTAAAATCGAAAATAAAGGGGGCAGCAACAGGAATTACAAAGTTTAAGCTCACGGCCTATGCTGATGATTTAACAGTGGGTTTAGGCTCAATAAAAGATTGGAATACTTTGATGAACCTGTTAACAAAATACGAAGCAGCAGCTAACGCGGCAGTAAATAAGGAAAAATCTAAACTGTTACCTTTAACCGAAAAAGCAGCGCAAACAGCATTACCAGGAGAGGGAAGTTTTGACAAACTAGATGAAAATGGGTCAATTAGAATCCTCGGTTTTGAGGTGAATAAGGAGGGACAACCAAGCAAAACTCTTTGGGACAGGATTACTATAAAATTGAAAAAGCTAACAGAAAGTATGAAACAGAGAGGACTTTCATTTAAGGGCAAAATCTTGATAGCAAAATCGCTCTTACTATCTAGGGTCTGGTTTGCCTCCTATATACTCCCACCAAATAGAAAACAGCTAAACAAAATTAATGAGATAATGATTTCGTGGATAAAAAACAAATCAAAACTCCTTCCAAGATATGGTATATACCAACAAACACTAGAAAATAATGGTCTAAATGCCCCAGTCTTACCAGACATGCTTGACGCCAGACTAATAATAATCTGGGTAAAACTATGGTCAAGCAGAAACTTTTGGGCTATAAATGAGAGAGCGAAAATAGAAGCTGCACTGCTTGAAAGACGTAAAAAAAAGGTACAAGAAGCTCTCTCAATCCGTCCAATTAGGCTAAAAGGGTGGCCCTGCGAATGGAAGCCATATCTTACAGCCTGGAAAAGACTAAAGGGAGAAATACCAGATAGCAGCAAAAACTGGCCCTGGAACCTTGAAGACCTCAAGATTATGGAAACCACTGCCACAAACTTGACCACAGCAAAAGCTACAGAATATCTAAAAAAGTCATCTATCGCATGCGCCTTAACGCAGACCAATTTTTTTAGCGAACCAAATAAAAAGGATAGCTGGGCATGGTCACAATTAAAATGGGTTCCGAATAATAAAAAAGATATTTTTTGGAGGCTGCTACATAACGCATTACCCTTGGGTACAAGACTGGCATACATTGATCCAACAGTCTCTCGGGACTGCCCATGGTGCCCAGAAGTACTGCAGACACCGGAACACTTCGCTATGGAATGCCGAGTTAGTCATAAGTTATGGGAACTTGCATATAACATGTTTAGTCTCTCGCAAGACATAACCCTCCCAACCACGATAGAAGAAATATTTACAGCAGCTAATGCCAAGTCAACCCAATCGCACACAACATTTATTTGGTTACACATCACAGTAATATACGAGATATGGGTCTGGTTCACAAACAAGCGGTGGGGCAAGGGCACGATGCCGGAACCAGCACTACAGTTTATTTGGAAGTCTAGAATCGCGAAAGAAATAAAGCTGGCATTGAACAGCTGCTTGCTCAAGGGAAAGGAAAAAGACTTTTTAAAGGCGGTATATAGGACGTGTAGTCTAGAAAATAATCGTACATAATAATTTGTATATATTTCTTAGTTTAATAAATAGCGTCATTTGACGTCCCCAGATAAATGCTATCTCGGGGTTTTATAAAAAAAAAAAAAATAAAAAAAATAAATTCATAGTACCATATGACGTGTTGTGGGTATTTTATATTATCTAGTATATGCATTAAAAAATTTCACTTTACATTATATACCAGTTTACGGAGATGAAGAATATTCATTATATTCATTCACGTAGAGTAAAATTATTTAATGCAAGTATCTAGGTAACCGATTAAAAATTATACTTACTGCAGTATCCCAAAAGACGCATCCTAAATCAATCGCACGATTTAAGACATTTAAATTTTCCGCTTCATCAGATGATCCGTAAAACTCACTCATTCCCTTAATTAAAGGAAATAAACAGTCCATTTAGTTATTCACGCATGTATAATAAAGTATGTGACTTTAATTTCGTACCATACATCCAAGTCCAATTGTTGGAATTTTAACACCAGTTTTACCAAGTTCACGGAGGACGGACATTTTGATAGAGTTATATCAGAGATGATGCTAGAAAATTAAATCAACATCATCGCCTTTATCCTTGTCATTATATAGAAAATTTTTAAGCTAATGGTTGTGCGTATTACAAATATAAAATATTCTCATGAAAATTAGATGCTACTTATTCATTCATTAAAATCAGTCAGTTTCCGGAATTAGCAAAGTACAACTTTCTAGATTAATTAATGATTAATAATCCTTATTAGTTGGCCTAACTAATAAAATTGATTTGCAATTCTGTCGGCAAACGGCGAAGATTTTGCGTAACGAGAGGTTAAAAAGTCGAAAAGAAAGTGAGAAAGTAGCTCTATATTAACACGTGAATTCGAGGATTGTAAAAATTTATTTTGAATCTTATACTTTTTCGTACAGTCCTTGAGCTTAATCTGTTTTTGCCATTGTTATTTATTAGTATTCAGAATTTTATACACGACTACATATTACTTTTTTTTCAAGATGACGTCGAGTTCACAGAGATCGAAGTCAGGAACACGTAAATTGATTCGAAAATGTTATGGGTAACGGTAACGGCAAAATATTTATAATTGATCTGCGTAATGTTTATTTGGTGTTATGCCCGAAATTAGGAGAGCAATACATACATGTGCAGATTAGATTCGGCACAGCACAAGGTACACGGAGTAAATGTTTATTAGGGATTTAAATTTAATGTTAGTCAGTTATTAAGAATAGTTTAGTTGGGAAAGTGCTTTATTGCTTTATCTAATATACAAGCAGGATGATATATCTTCTCTTTAGCAGTTTGAGCATTAATTAATACATTTTACTTTCTAAGGGTTTCAAACCTTTACTGGGGTATTAATCCCTCGCTGGAGAGTTTTAATCCTCGCTGAGGGTTTTAATCCCTCATTTGGGGTCTCAAACCTTCCATTTACGGTAAATGTAATCACAGATTTAGATTTATTATGGAAAATGAAATAACCACAAAATTGCGCAACAGCGGCAATTTAATAATGCCGAAATGCTTCAGTAAATCCATAATAGTTTTTATTACGTTATGTGTAGCTAGAATAGTTAAAAGGGGCAATATTTTACTATCTCTATGGTTAGATTATAAAAATAAACAAATAGTAATAACAGATAATTTAATTTGACCGCAGTTTTTTGTGATTTGATTGATCAGCTTCAAGTACCATGGTCGGTTTATTACCTCTAAGCCATCATCAACTAACCTGACTCATTTACTCCTAGTAGAGCATATTTTGAAAATGTATCTCTGGTGTGGCGACAACATTATGTATCAAAATTCCTTTAATAAAAAATCAAACAATGAAAAATTTGGATTCAAAACTTTTAATCTTGAATAAATTTAAAATCAAATTTTTATCACAAATAGAATTTACGATAACAGAAATTAAGATATTTCGGCAAACAAAGATTTGATTCCTTGATCAATCGCAAGTATTGATCAAAGAATATATCCTGTCCCGATTTTATTCATGCAAATGTATTGCAGTGACACCCATGGTTATTCCAAAATGTTGAATTTTCGCATTGAAAGAGAAATGAGTAAGGAGAACTTGATACAATATATAACATTTTATATCAACATGAGCATATATTAAACTGCACTTTGATCTCGTTATCATTATTTTGTTCCATTTTATCAAGCCAACCGACGATTCTTTAGCTGAGGATGTAGCCGTTAGTCATTTATTTGATCTGAATCCATACATCTCTTGGCCAAATTTACATAGCATCCTGGAATTCCTTCACCAAGTTCTGATCGTTCATTTTCATCACAAATTTTTGAATCAAGTTCAATATTAAAAGGAATGCCATCAAATGCTCTTTTTCCAGAAGATATCTCAGTCATAATAACACCGAAAGAATATACGTCAGCTGCTTGGGTAAATTGTTGACCCCTTAAAACCTCGGGAGCTACGTATGGCATGACACCGTGAATTTTACCATCTTGTTTAATATCAGACGACGTTGAAAGACCCAAGTCACTGATGTATGCATTGTGCAAAAGATCTTGCAAAATATTTCCAGAGTGTAAGTCTCTATGGATTAATTCCTGGGAATGAATGGATTCAAGATCCGAAGCCACACAATACAAAAGATTTAACTTTTTTTTCCAATCCATTTTCACAACTTTAGAAAGGTTTTCACGCAATGATCCCTCCTTTGCATATTCTAAAACTATAATATAATCTTTTGAATTTGGCTCCCTTGATACTCCATAGCATTTTAAAAATGATGGATTTTCGTATCCAATTTCACTATAATTTTTTAACTATATGATATTTAAATCACTTAAACGACTTTGAATGATGAAATAAAAATAAGTACAAATATTTAAATAATATTACCTCGTCAACAAATTCTTGATTATATTTATATGAATTATGAATTAATTTTAGTGCAACTTGTTTCCGGCGATTTTCATTTTTATCAATCCATTCTGCAAAATATACAGTTGCAAATCCTCCTTGTCCAATTTCATAAACCTTGTTAAATTCATTAAAAGGAATCCACGATAGTTTAAACTTTTCGTCATTTATTACTTTCTTTAATTCGTCGTAGTCTAAGCCTTCGTGTGATGCATCTGTATTTATCTTTTTTATATTTCTTCCCTTTCGATACCAACGATTAGCTCGCTGTATGTCCCTTTCTACTCCTATTCCTTTTCTATAACAGTCTCCAACTTTTATCATTCCACTAATGTTTCCCATATCTGCTGATTTTTTAAAATAAACGAACGCCTTACGTTCATCCTTTTCAACTCCTTTTCCATTTTCATAACAACGTCCAACCATATATATTCCAGCAGCATCCCCCATCTCTGCGGATCTTTGATAATAAATGAATGCCTTATGTTCATCCTTTTCAACTCCAATCCCATTTCGATAACAATATCCAACATTATGCATTGCCTTAGCGTCACCCATCTCTGCAGATTTTTGATAATAAATGAATCCCTCATGTTCATCCTTTTCAACACCAATTCCATCAAAATAACAATCTCCAACATTATATGTTCCACTAGCGTACCCCATCTCTGCAGATTTTTGATAATAAATGAATGCCTTATGTTCATCCTTTTCAACTCCAATTCCATGATGATAACAATATCTTACATCATTAGTTGCGGCTGCATATCCCATGTCCGCAGATTTTTGATAATATATGAATGCCTTATGTTTATCCTTTTCAGCTCCAATTCCATAAAAATAACAATCTCCAACGTTATATGTTCCTGTAG